TGGCAGTCCACTCCATAAAGAATTCAGTTTTGGAAATTCTATGGGATAGGCCTACTCTTTTTTACAGTGTCACCATGAGTTGGTATAGACACAGTGGCATCAAATTTGGTTTGGTTAGGCATCTCAAGGTTATATTTGAGATGCAAAATTTAATACAAGGCAATTATTCCTAGATAAAAGAGCTACATATAATAAGTCTCTTCATGAATCTGAGTAATTCAGCAAACTAGTCTATGTATTGTAGGGAAAAGAAATAAAAACTGAAGAATGCATGACAGTAATTGATAAGTTTTGTTTTATCTCCCCTTTTCTCTGTGAGTTCTTGTGGAGTATACTAATGATAGTGTCATTTCAAGAAAATGCTATGACCAGAAACCTACAGGATCCTAGTCTTGTATTTCCTGTAGCAGCCATGGTTCAATATTTGCTAATTTGCTATCTGAGGTGAGGTCATAGAACATAACTACTGTGGATAATGGGAATTAGTTACGTACATCATTCACTGACAATGGAACAGAATGTTGAAAACGCTTTATAAATTTCAAATTCAAACCTCTTACTTTACAGATGAGGATACTCAGGCATTGAGCTATGTGTAAGTCTAAATGGATATAGCATCTGGGGTCTTACAGGCTTGAAGTTAAACAAGCAGGCATCTAGCAGGGAAGCAACAAAGCCCACATGGAAGAAGTATACCAGCCTGTGTGATTACAAGGTGTTGACAGGATCAGGTATCAGGCATCAAAAGACCCAAACCAAACAACCATATCGATGTGAATGAGGGGGGTCAGAGTAGAGTACAAAAGCCCATCTGTAGATAGTTGAACATCCCCTCCCAGAAGGGTCACAAGGAAGGGAGGAATTAGCAAGGGTCCAGTGTATCACCAATAAAACACACAACTTTCCTCTAGTTCTTTAATGCCCCTCCCCACCCCCACCCCCACTATCATGACCCTGGCTCTACTTTACAAATCTTGCTAGAATGGAGCATGTACAGATAAGAGTTCTCAGCACACAGTATTAAGGACAGATAAAGCCCTCAGGAACAGTAATGTGAGTTGTGTTACCATGAGGGTAGGGGGAAGGTAGGGAGAGAAGGGGGAGAAAGGGGGAGCTTATTGCAATGATATATACCGCTCCCCTGGAGGATGAACAATAGAAATGTGGGTGAAGGGAAAGAGTGGACAGTGTAAGATATGAAAATAATAGTAATTTATAATTTATCCAGGGTTCATGAGGGTGGGAGGATGGGGAAGGGAGGGAAAAAAGACAAGCTGATACCAAAGGCTCAAGCAGAAAGAAAATGTTTTGAAAATGATGATGGCAACATATGTACAAATGTGCTTGATACAATTGATGTATGGATTATTATAAGAGCTGTAAGAGGCCCCAATAAAATGATTTATTTAAAAAATTAAAATGAAATAATAAAGATAACTGCAACAACTGGAAAAAAAACCCTATGAAAATGGGATATATTGAGTAATTTACAAAATTCCCATTAGTCCATTTCTAGAAGGTATGAGTTTTAGGTGTTATGTCTCAATAATGTGTTATCACACTACTGTAGTGGTTTTTCAAACTGTCTTACGTAGAACCCTGTGACTCCATCGAAGTGTGTCAAGGATCACAGGGAACGAGGGAGAGGAATAAAAAGAAGGCATTGGGCCCTGAGTTATGTCTTAGGCTGCTAACTACAAGGTCAGCAGTTAGAACCCACCAGCTGCTTCAAGGGAGAAAGATGAGACTTTCTGCTCCTGTATAGATTTAGTCTCAGAAATCCCTAGGGCTGTTCTAGTTTGTCCTATACGGTAGCCATGTGTCAGAACTGACCCAATGGCAGTGAGTGAGCCATAGGATTGGCTACCCTTTCTTCAAATCAGACATATCTACTTTTATACATTTTATATTTTGGGATTCTATAGAATATTGTGTTTTCTTCTTTTCCTTTCTTCTTACTTTTTTGAGGGCATTCCTCTGCTAAGTAAAAGTTTGTAAGTCATTGTTTTAGAACTACAGCAAGAGATAACTCCTGTCTAAAGTAGACTTTCTCCATAGCAGGAGATTGAGTTCCTCCTTAGCACTGGGCTTTCTAATCCAGTTCTTCTCAAACTTTATGGGAAGCATCTGATGAGCTTAATACAATCTCTTCACACACACACACACACACATCATATACACGCACTTTTTTTGGCACTACTTGTGGCAGGATTATGTACTTACTGATATGCATTCAAAGGTTGAGGGTTCATAACAGCAGATCTAAAATCTTTATTTAGAGAACTTGTAAAGTAACATCAGGTGGGAAAAAAAAACTTGACATTAGTATTAGAATTTGTTTGGGAATGATGTTTGTTGCTTTGTTGAGTGAACTTCAAGGATTACTTAGAAAAACCTTTGGGCCACATTGTTGTCCCTCTTATTCATGGATTCATTCAACAGAGACAAAGAATTAGTTGTGGGAAATATTGCTTGAGCGCATCTGTAAGTGAAATGGCTTATAGTACTTGCATTCTTAAATCCAGAACCCACTGCCATCAAACCACTTCTGACTATTTTTGAGGATTTGGAGAAATTTTAGTGTTTAGTAAATTTTGCTACACACACAAACACACCTTGTTCTCCTGCTTGTCTTACCTGGAAATGGAAATGCAGCAGGCCAGGCTGAGTGATGTCTACACCCTGTGGCCCTGCGGGGTCTAGCGTTGGGTGCTCTGTACAGTTCAGTCAGAGGATTGTAGGGATGTCCAGGGGTATCGGGACTGTGACACCAAGGGCTTCGAATGGGAAAAAGGGTTGGTGGGATTTCTTTTACCCTGTTAAAAAAAAAAGAAAGAAAACCTAAATTGAACCCCCAAAAATATTTTCTGCAATTGCATTGCATTACATATGAAAGTGCAATTAAAGTGAAAGCATTTTGAGACCATAATATGGCTTTTTCAGACCTGGAGGGACAGAGTGTTAATTATAACATCACAAGCATTTGCTTCCAAATAAATACTGTAAGTCGAGTCCCTCCATCGACAGTAGCTCCCCATCCAGATTCAGTAGAAGACGAAGTTTCTAGACGACACACTGAACCTTCCACCTCAAACCAGAAAACCAAACCCAGTGATATTGAGTTGATACCTGCTAAGCACGTGGTAGTAACTTCTCCACAGCCTTATCTCTAATAGCAGTGGTGGTGAGAAATTAGAATGGCAAAGGAAGCCACAAGATTATCTACTGAAGATTGGCAGCCTTTCTTCTACTGCTCTGTTTTTATGCTTCACTTTAAATCACAGTGTTTTTTAAAAAAACATTTTAATGGAAGCTCTTACATATGCTGCAATCAAGATCTTTTGATGTACGAAATTCAAGATAGATAACCCCCTCAGGAGTAATGACTCCCTGAGGATACAGCAAGAGCAAGCGGGAAAGTGGGGAAGAGGGAACCGATAGCCACGATGACTGTATAACCCCACTAGAAGGAAATGAACATCAGAATTTTAGGTAAATGGATATATGGGATAGTGTAAGTTATGGCAAAAGACCCAATTATAATTACAATAATATGTGATATATTAAGTGTTCAGGGGGATGTAGGTAGGGGAGGGAAGGGATAAATTGGAGCTGATATCAAGGGGTTCATGAAGAAAGAAAATATTGAAAATGATGATGGATTATAAATCATAGTATTTGGACAGTTTTGGATGATCTGTTTTGACTGTTTTTGATTTATCTGTTTATCAATGCCTACTTGCCATTGTCTACAGAATCTTTCAAATGATTCTAAAGGTAAAATGTTGAGTGATGCAGAAATCATCAAGAGAAAGTGGAAAGAATACAAGAGCCACTGTGCCAGAACGAACTAGTTGACAGTTCACCATTTCAGGAGGTAGCGCATGAGCCAGGACCAATGGTGCTGAAGGAAGGTGTTGAAACTTCACTGAATGCATTAGTTCAAATTAAGGCTCCAGGAACTGATGGAATACCAACTGAAATGTTTCACTAAGCTAATTAAGCACTTGAAGCACTCACCTGTCTATGCCAAGAAATTTGGAAGACAGATACCTGGCCAACTGACTGGAAGACATCTTTATTTGTGCCTTTTCCAAAGAAAGAAGACCCAACAGAATGCTCAAATTATAGAACTCTATTACTGATATCCCACAAAAGTAATATTTTACTTTAAGACCATCCAATACGGTCGAAGTACTGCATTGATAGGGAACTGCTAGAAGTTGATGTGGGATTCAGAACAAGATGGAACAATGTGGAACAAAGCAATATCATTGCTGATCTCAGAAAGACCTTAGTTCAAAGCAGATGATACCAGTGTGATAGGTAGGTTATTGTGTCAACCTGGCCAATAGGAACATGTGGGATTAATCAGGTCACAATTTGTTTGGAGGGCAAAGAGATAAATGGTTCTGCAAGGCCCACCCCTTTCTATCTTGCTCACCGCTGGAGCATGAGTGCTGCTGCTGTAGCTAGTTCTCTGCCTCAACCTGTGAGCTATACTACCTGTGGTTCAGGCAAACCCATGGATCATGTCACTAGAGCCTGAGGCTCCTTCAAGACCTGCTTCACCATGGGGCATACATCACTTGAGCTTGAGGTGGTGGATTCCATCCCCTTGCATTGCTTGCATTACATTTCACATCCAGGCCTGCTTCACTAAGCTCCTGAGCTACTGACTGTTGGTGACCCACCTTGCTGCTTGCTACCTGTGGGCAGACTCTGCTTGCCTTGCCCCAAGAAGACTCTGCTGTCTGCTTTCCTGATCTTAGACCTGGAAGCCCATGTGAGTTGAAGGACTTCCAGTACATTAACTGTTCCATGGAAGTAAGTTGAACTGAACCCTCTGTACGACTGTGTGGACTAATTAGCTGCTATATTCTTTCTTGTGATATAAACCTATCCATATATATATATATAAATCATAAGTCCTGGTTTCATTTATCCAGACGCATCTGCCTAACACAACCAGAAAGATGTTTACTTGTGTTTCATTGACTATGCAAAGGCATTTGACTGTGTGGACCATAATAAACAGAAGAATGGGAAGTCCAGAGCACTTTATTGTGCTCATGCAGAACTTGTACATGGACCAAGAGGCAGCTGTGTGAACAGAGCAAGGTTGAAAATCAGGAAAGGTGTGCATTAGGGTTGAATCCTCTCAACATAGTTGTTAAACCTATATGGTGGGAAAGTCATCAGAGATGCTGGATTATATTAAAAAGAGTGCAGCATCAGGATTGGAGGAAGGCTTACTAACAGGTGACACTATCTTGCTTGCTGAAAGTGAGAAAGAATTGAAACACTTGCTGATGAAGATCCGGGATTGCAGCCTTCAGTGTGAATTACAACTCAATGTCAAGAAGACCAAAATTGTCACAATATGACCTATAGGGAACATCATGAAAAAATGGAGAAATGGTCGAAGTTGTCAAGGATTTTGTCTTCACTGGATCCACAATCAATGCTAATGGAAGTAGCGGCCAAGAGATCAAAAGATCAAATTGACCTATTTCATTAGGTAAATCTGCTGCACAAGACCTCTTTAGAGTATTGAAGAGCAAAGCTGCTTCTTTTAGGACTAAGGTGCTCCTGAACCAAACCATGCCTCATATGCATGTGAAAGTGGGACATTGAATACAAAAGATGAAAGAGAATGAATGCATTTGAATTGCGGCGCTGGAGAAGACGATCGGAAGTACCATGAACTGCTAAGAGGACAAACCGATCTGTATTGGAAGAAGTAAGGCCAGAGTGCTCATTAGAGGCAAGGATGGCAAGAGTTCATTTTACATATTTTGGGCATATTGTCAGGAAAGGCCAGTCTCTGGAGAAGAGCATCATGTTTAGTAAAGTGGAGAGGCAGTGAAAAAGAGAACAGCCCTCCAAAAGATTATTGACCCAGTGGCTGCATCAATGCATGCAGGCATAGGACCATTTCTGAAGATGGAGCAAGATGGTACAATGTTCTGTTCTGTTGTGCATAGGGCTGCTATGGGTCAGAGCTGACTCGATGGCACCTAACTGACAACAATAACAATGCATTGCTATTGAGCAATTGATAACTCACTAACTGAGGGAAGCCTCACTTAGAAAACAAACAAACGCTTACCTCTGAAGGGCTGGAATGTACTTCACCTGCCATGACGAGGTCCCTTTCTCTTGTTGATCTTGTTTTCCTTTAGTTATTGGGACGATGGATGTTGGAAGGTAGACTGTGCTCTTTTGAGATGGTCCAGTTGAGCTTCTGTTAAATTCAGTGTCGGTCTCTAATTTCTCCCATGTTTGCTTCCAGTGAATAGGTGTGTACCAGGCAATCGCCTAGCAACAATGGTTCACAAATAATAAATTGTTCGTGTTAGATAGATTTTTGTAAAATGCCATAGGCGCATTGCAGTAGTATTTAAACAAGCTGTATAAAGCCATTCACAGGAGTACAGTATGAAATCATGTCCTTCATTTCCGGGTTCTGGGGGACTTCAGGTAGTTTAGTCACTTGTTGACTTGGACCGTGTCTTCATATATAAAGTTGTGTGAGTGCTGATGGAGTATTGATTCAGTTAAGCCACTGAATTTAACTATAAACAACCACAGGAGCAAAACAATGTTCTACATCCTATTTCAGTGAGTAGTGACTGGGGTCTTAAAAGCTCATGTGTGACCATCTAAGGGGCAACTCTGTCCAGAAGTACTTGAGAACAATCAGTCCAATGGGTTGATGGACTACAAGAACATTAGTTTCTGTGGCTCTCAGACCCAGAAAACTAGATGGTGTCCAGTTGCCACTAACAACTGCTCTGAAAAGGATAACATTAGAAAATTCTAGACAGTGTAGGAAAATGAGGAACAAACCTTAAAACCATAAAAAGACCAGTGTAAGAGTCTGAAAAGTAGGATGCCTGGTGGGGCTTGATCAAAGGCAATATAGCCAAGAGGAATTATTGAAACCTGAATGAAGACTAAACATGATAGTGGGACAAGAGGAAAGTAAAAGAAAATAGAGGAAAGAAATAGGTATCAAAGGGCATTTATAGAGGTCTAAATACTGGCATGTACATATCTCAATATATTTATATATAACGATGGCAAAATAGATCTATGTACCTATATTTATATGTTAAGTATTAAGGTAGCAGATGGACATTGGGCCTCCACTCAAGTACTCTCTCAATGCCAAGAACACTCTGTTCTAATAACCCTGCATTCTGTGATGCTCACCTTGCTGACATGATTGATCGCTGAAGATAAAGCAGGTGCATAAGCAAATGTGGTGAAGAAAGCTGATGGTGCCCGGTTATGAAAAGATATAGTGTCTGGCTTGAAGATAAACAAGCGGCCATCTAGCCGAGAAACAACAAAGCCCACATAGAAGCACATCAGCCTGTGTGATGATGAGGTGTCGATAGTATCAGGTATCAGGCATCAAAGACCCAGAACAAAAAAATTATATCATTGTGAATGAGAGGGAGTGTGGAGTGGAGACCCAGAGCCCATCTGTAGACAATTGGACATGCCCTTATAGAAGGGTCGCGGGGAGGAGATGAGCCAGTCAGGGTGCACCATAGCACCAGTGAAACATACAACTTGTCTCTAGTTCTTCAATGCTTTCTCCCCCTGACTAGTGTGAGCCCAATTTTACTTTACAAATCTGGCTAGACCAGAGCATGTACACTAGTACAGATAAGAGCTGGAAACACAGGGAATCCAGGACAGATAACCCCCTCAGGACCAATAATGAGAGTACTGATACCAGGAGGGTAACTGGATGTAGATCACAATGATCTACATATAATCCTCTCCCAGGGGGATGGACAACAGAAAACTGGGTGAAGAGAGACAGTGGTCAGTGTAAAACATGAAAAACAAATTATCAAGGGTTCATGAGGGAGAGAGAATGGAAGAGGGGCGGGAGTAAATGAGCAGACAGCAAGGGCTCAAGTAGAAAGAAAAGGTTTTGAAAATAATGATGGCAACCTATGTGCAAATGTGCTTGACACGATGGATGTATGTTTACATTGTGATAAGAGCTGTATGAGCCCCCAGTAAAATGATTTAAAAAAAAAAGAGTTTGAAAAGGAACTTTACCCCCATGGCTCAATTTTCAGCCAAACCATCTGACTTCAAATCCGAACCCAAATCTGAATTCAAATCCCAAAAGTCTTTTCTGACATTTAATTCATTCTCCTCCTTCTTGTCTATCTTTTTAATGATCCTCTACTTCATGTATGATATTTTTGATGTCATACCACAATTCAGGAACAGGAAGGATATCACTTTGAGGACCTAAACCTACCCAGGTCATTTTCAAAGACCCAATATGCCTGAAAGCTGGGCAATGAATAAGGCAGACTGAAGAAGAATTGATGCATTTGGGTTATCGTGTTGGCAAATACTATGGAAAGTAAGTGCACTGTCCAAATAACAAACAAGTCTGTCTTGAAAGAAGGGCAGCCAGAAGGCTCCTAAAAATCAGGCTGGCAGAACTTCGTCATCAGATGCTTTGCATCTGTTGCCAGGAGAGACCAATCGCTGGACAAGAGCATCGTGGTTGGTAAAGGAAAGGGTCCATGAAAAAGAACAAGCTTCTCAAGGGGATGAATTGTCATGGTGACTACAGCAAGGGGCTTTAACATGAGAAAAATTGTAAGGATGGTATAGGGATAAATAGCGTTTCATTCTGTTGCACACAAGGTTGCTATCAGTCAAATTGGGCTTGACAGTCCCTAACAACAACACACCTCTGAAGGCACAGTCTGCACAAGCCTACGTTACAGAGCAAGCGAGCGAGAAATGCAGAGAGATTCGGATCAACATGTCATAGCATTAGTAATTCTGTGACAGTAAGCTAGGCTGACGATAAAATTAAAAGGCAGATATTTAAGGAAAATTTAAGGATGGTTTTAAAAAAGGAAAAACTACTTTTAAAAGAGATAACATAAAACCTGACTGATGTGTCTTTGCGCATATTTTTACAGTAATACTATACACGACGGTAGAGTGAAAATGTAAAATGCTGAAAATGAAGTTCTCAAAGTTATTAATGACACATATTATTTTGTTACAGGGGATAAATTAAGAGCATTACAAAATAGACTGCAAACTCCCATTAGAATATTAGTCCTTTGAGAAGAGCTACTGGACCTAATCTGTTACAGTCTGACCAGGTAACCCAGCCCGCAGGATAGAGAATAATAACAAAAGCATATTAGGAAATGAATAGGGAAGGCCAGTATGTAGTGCTTTCCTGTCTTATGTTGATCTGCAGGCGACATATCAGAGGTGCACCTAGGCCTCATGTCACCCAGTGCTGTAGATCGGGACATCACCACCCCACGCCCCACAGATTTTTTTTCCCCATATCACACAATACAGAATCCATAGACATGTTTATTATCAATTTTTCAGAGAATATGCCATAAATGTAGCTATAAATTGCTTAAATGTAGCATTTCTTAGATTATGTGAATACTAACAATGGTTTTATAAGTCGGCTGCACAGAGAATCAGCAGCAGACATAAACCTGAGAGCAGCAGTCCCAACAGGAACGCCCAGAAATCAATTCACTTAAAGCGGTGTTCTAAATAAAACAAGCATTAACGACTGATACTAGGGCATCAGATATATCAGTTCACAATGAAGACAAATTCAAAGACAGTTGCGGGAAAGGATAGATCAAACATATTTGAAGGGAAAGGAAGATACATAATTTGAAAGAAAGAATAGAGCATTTTAAATCTGGGAAGAAAGCAAATAACAAATAACAAGGTACCCTCCATCAAAATGGGTGCGGAGACTGAAGCCCTCGTAAACTCTGATGGGTCTGTAACAAGGTGCAACCATGTGGAGAGCAGTAGGCACTCCCTCAAACAACTGGGAATAGAAGTTCCTCCAACTGCAGAGATTCCTCGGCTGGGTGTATACCCCAAAGTAGTAAGACCCATAGCACTGAAAAACAAAGGCACACTCATGTTCATCACAGCACTGCTTCCAATAGCAAGAAGAAGGAAACAGCCTATCTCCTCATCAGTAGAAGACTGGAGTAAGAAACGCTGGTCCAGCAGAGAAAGGAAGTCCAGAGGGAATACCAAAAATAGACTTTGGAGCCAGGGTGTGGCACCCTATGAAGACTCCACCAGAAAACACTCCTAAAGGTCAACAAACAGACCTTGAACTACTTACACGCTTTTCTTTTTCTGTCATTCGTTTTTTGTTGTGGTTATTTTGTTTTCTTTTGTTGCTTTGTTTTGCTCTGTCTTGGTTTTGTGTATATTATTATCTCTGCAGGTCTATCAAGATAGGTGGGTTAAACAATCTGGAGGAGAAAACAACAGGACCCATGGTTCCAAGGGGACATGGAAGAGGGGGAGGTAGGGGAAAGGAAGTGGTGTTAACAAACCCAGGGAAAAAGGAACAACAAGTGATTCAAAATCAGTGGCAAGGAGGGTGTAAGAGGCCTGGTAGGGCTTGATCAAGGGCAATGTAACCGAGAGGAATTACTGAAACCCAAATGAAGGCTGAG